GGTGGTGGTGGTGGTGGTGGGCGCACTGAGCAACTGGGTGTGAGTTAAGCTGATCATGGTGGATGTGCAAGATTTGTTGAGTTTGATGGAGCTGGTGGTGCGCTGTGAGGTGGAGTGTGGGCGGGGCTAGGCATGGTGGGTGTGCTAGATATTTCGGGGCTGCGGTCAGTTCCGCTCTCGTGGATACGCTTGTGGCCAAATAGGCCCATGCGGTGAATGAATGTGAGTGGGCAGTGAGGAGAGTGGAGGGCGATGCGACAGGTGTAAGTTGGTGTTTAAGGTACTAGTACGCCAGACTCCGTGCGAGGGATTAGCAAGTGACCGAACAAGATTGTTACCAACAACAGTACAAGAACGGATCACAAGGCAACCATGCACATGACCTGTATATCCATCGGGAGTCCAAGTGCCTCTACTGACGGAACCAGGTACTACCAGTGTACACTAGGCTATGAGTGCCATGATTTGCTGATCCTGACATGGCAGGCGATTTCAAAACTTTAGGCCCAGAAGGGTGACAAGCGGTCCCGCATTTAGCCTGGTTCATCGCTCTTCAAACGTCGGGTCACCAGTCAGCCAACGACTAGGAAGCATTACCTATATGCACATACCCTCCTCACTAGCGTGAGAATGCCACAGGTCACTTTAAGAAAGAGCAGTTTCAGCCTGACTTGCCGCCTATCAGTCCGCCACTAAACACAAGCACACACAACTGGGTCGACTGCGTGGACTGAGTTGAGACGTCAGTCGGCAACATTGCAAGGCAGGACTCTTGACGCAACTTGATAGTCCCACACTCCAATCAGGCATGTACCAGAGGATGCACATGGGAAAGAAGCCGAAAAGCACACTTTCCACTTAAGCGAGAGGTGGCAGTTGAGTGCTCGCGACGGGTTATGTTGTTGTGTGATGCAGTTGCCGGTGGGGGAAGGCGTGATGATGTAGCTGTAGCGGCTAATCGGTGATGGTGTACGCTCAGTACGCCACAATTTCAGGCCATATCCCAAATTGTTAGAAGCAGGACGCCATTTGGTTAGGACACTTTATTCTGCACAGAATAGTGAAGGGGAAATTTGGCAACCGGACGAGGATGCGTCCGGTGCCGCGCAGACGGCGTCCGCGAGAGCGACGAGCCCTGTGTCGCCGAAGGTCGCCGCTGCAAAAGTGTCATTGCAGATTGTTTACTCTATTGTTCTGGACTGTTCCCGCCTGTCTTACCAATCAGCAATAGGAGTCGCGTTGATTGGCTCCGAGCCCACGCGAAGATAGTGACAAGCCACGCGTGGCGCATATAGTGAATTGCAACGAGACAAATCGAAGCCAGGCAGACGTGCGTGCGTGCCATAGCAAGCTGTCGCTAGAACGTAGGTGCAGGCGCTAGTGAGAGGCGCGACGTAGTCATTATGGCTGTCCACTACATAGTACGGCCGGTGATTGTCTACCACACATTTCATAAATGTACATGTGGCCTAATAGGCCGATGTGCTGGCTGAACGTGCGGGGACAGTGAGGGCAGTTGGGGAGGATGGGACAAGTGAAAGACGATGCTTCGCACACCGCTTGGCCTGTCTCCGTGGCTTCGAGTGCCATGTTTTGCTGATTATGGTAAAGCTAAAGCTCACAAACCCTGGGGCCCCGATGGGTTACACACCCCTGCATTTGCCTGGCACATCAGTCTCCAAAACACGTTGCCAAGTCCGTCAGCGACCGAAAGGCACGAAACACTAAGTAATACACACACCTCACGTGCGCGGGAGTGAAATTTCGACAACGGGCTCGACCATGTACGTCCAGGATGACGTTCAGCATTTGATTTCTCCCAGTCTGCGCGGTGTTTTGTCGTCCAGGGCTGGCAGTTTTACCAGGTGCTGGGCTATTTGATTGTTGATGCTCAAACGGTGATAAGTCGAATTCGAAAAAACAATATTATACTTACCTGTGGTTGCTTACCTTGCGGCCTCCAGTGGGGCTCCCTTATCTTGGAAAAGATGAAGCGATGTTTTGTCTTTTGAACAAGAGCATGGGCTCACCGGAACGGGTTTACTGAGATACTGACGTTTCGAAGAACTTGGTCGGATCTCAATTATCAAAGCGTGAAATGTCCTTAGTCGAACAGAAATCCTAAGTGGCATGTCATGTTGGTCGGCCTCTTGCTGATCGACTTTCCTCTCCTCTCGCTGCCTCGGCCTCTCGGGTGATGGTATTTGGTCTGCGGGCTTTGTAAGTCACCGCTCCGTTGGGGGGAGGTGATTGGACTTTTGTTAGGTGGTCGGTTTGGCGGTCCTTTTTTCAGTTTGTTTGCTAAGGGTAATAGGTAAGGCCTTTGAAAACCCTATTGAGTCCATGTCAGCTCGTTAGAAATAACTGTACACGAACAATGAAAATATCCGCCATTAAAACAGTACTTGATTCATTTGAGTAACACTGTCTCAGACAAAAATTCGCGGGCGATTTAGTTCTGATTGCGACTGTCGGGGGAAAACAGGGGACATAAATAATCATACGGGCGTTTCTTGAAGAGTTGCAGAGACGTTGCCTCCACGACTAACTGAGAGACATCGTTCCATTTTTGCACTACCCCTTGCATGAACAATTCAGAACGAAGGTTCGGCCTGGACATTGTGGTCCGTAGCTTTATCGAGTGATAAGTAAGATTGGGTGAAGGTGCCACTGAAACATGCCCTCAAAGCTAAGTCTATGCTCAATACAAGAATAAGATCACCTCATTGCTGCCTGTAACACAGAAGGAATAAATTAAGGCACTTCAGTCTGCCTGTGTAGGCAGATTTATCAGATTTGTTGCACGGCGTTGTGCCCGTTCGTGCACATCCCCTGTTAGGTAAAACTTTGTCTACGCGGGCCAGGTGGTGCATGAAACACACTCAGACGACGCCAGTCGCTACGTCAGTCACTGCGCCCATTCCCCCCACCCACACTACCGTCGAGACCAACTCTGCAACTACCTACCTTTCGACCTGGTCGTGCGTTTGCAAATCCATCGTTCGGATACCGTTGAACCAGTGCCTGGAGGACCAACATCCACCAGAGCCACTCGACTCAACTTTCCACATTGCCCTCACGCATCCAACCATCGCGTGGGTCTGCCACGTCCCCTGGGCATTCAAGAAAACTTGTGGTAAATCACTGCAGGCACGGCCAGTTCACAACGCGTTCCCCACGTTAGGACATGAACCACACGTGCACCCGTCCAAATTCTCTCAGCACCAGCACCTCTCACGTAAGTGGGAAGTTTTCTCCTTTGCCCCTTTCCCTGTGTGTTTCCTCTGCTGCATATTTGGTCGAGCCCGAGGATTTCACGATGCGCCGATCGCCGCGGCTTCGGAGGCCACCAACTGACGATTCAGTTCACTCTGCGCAGTCATTCCAGTTGTATGTGGGTGTTTTGGAAGGTTGACTGGTGGGCAGACAGCCAGGTTAAAATGGTCCCTTCGTAACGTGACCACTAGCAGCCTCACGCATATGAGATGGCAGATGCATATGTCCTGTTATAGGAAACCTTGTGTTTGCGTCTGTGGAGGCCAGGTCGCGTGTGTGTGTGTGTGTGTGTGTGGAAAGCGCAGACGAGGTCAGTCGTTACGTCAGCCACTGCGCCCATTCCGCGCACCAGACAACTGAGCGGCTCGGACAGTGGGTGGGGCTTGGGAATGAAAAAAGAGAGACCGAGGGCTTAGCGCATTTTCCACATGATCCTGTGCTGGAGCACACCGCAGACATCGTCGGCAACGACGGTGGTGGTGGTGGTGGTGGTGGTGGTGATGATGATGATGATGATGATGATGATGATGATGATGATGATGATGATGATGATGATGATGATGATGATGATGATGATGATGATGATGATGATGATGATGATGATGATGATGATGATGATGATGATGATGATGATGATGATGATGATGATGATGATGATGATGATGATGATGATGATGATGATGATGATGATGATGATGATGATGACTGATATGTGGACAACAAATCTACCGCTGGTTAACCTTCCCTTGACTTAACCGATTTGTTAATAATTTCTATCACATCACGCCCCGATTCATTGTCTCTGATAAATACCACCACTTGAGACGATACGCTCGTCTACGTTCATTGTACTGACACGTAGTAATTCTAGCTTCCACTAGTTGCACACCGTTCTAACTACTAGATATAGATGTAGTTAGGACGCAGCTTAAGCATACGCCCACTCTTTTTGAGTATTATACTCGGTTTGGCTGACTCTCTGCAAAAAATCATAATCTTGTGAGCCTCTGTAAACTCGCCTCCGTAAACTCGCCTCGTTTTTGCCTACATGTGAACAGAGGTTCAGCAGATCACATGGAATTCATTGATTCAACTACACATATCCTAATCGCCTTGCATCGACGCACTAACACGAATGTATTAACTGTTCAGCCCATTAAACTGCAGGGTTTTAAACCCCACCGGGGTAATAAACTTCACAGGCTAGGCGCTTGTCAGCTGACAGAATTCTTTGGGCATTTTTGAATAAAATGCTCTCCTTACGACGTTGCAGGGAGAAGCGTAAAACACAACTTGGTTGCTGGATCAAGCCACCGAATTTAACGTTTTCATCCAAATGCATGACGCCGTTCGCGCATGCTCAACTGACAACTAGGTGGGTCAAGTAGCTGCTTCGGTCTGACGAACGCTGAATCGGCATTTAATAGTCATAAGTGAATTCAGACATTAAAGTCCAACAAACCCTGCGGGGCATCATGTCAATCCAGTAGACTAGCCACGATAATCCTATATAGGACGTTCTTCAAAAGATTCCTGCCAGCTGAAGGGCAGTGGACCTTCATTTTTTTCGATAGCCTCGCCATCACACATGTTCTCACGGCGTACAGACTATCAAGACTAGGATGCGGCCTGTCTTAGTACTCCGAATGCCACAGAGCACTTGAACTGGTCACAAATCGCCAGGACTACAGTCACAAGTGACGCTAGCTTGATATGAACTTGTCGCAGACCGCACCGTGCTCCCATTCAAGAACTTCCATGATCAAATTTTAAAATAAAAATGGACGGAATAAAAGTGTACCCTCACTTACTCTTACAGCGTATATATGGTTAGGAGAACGTACAGGAATATCCAGGTTATGACTGTAAGTCGGTCCATTGGGTAATGTCCTTGAGTAGCAAGTATTAATGGGACGCTAAGAAAAAAGTATGGTCTTCCAGATCAATTACTAGAAAAGTGTTATACGGTATTTTTCACTCCTTTAAGCAATTATATAATCATCATATTTATCAATCACTGCTTCCCATCTTGCAACCAAGGTTCACTATTCCTTTTTATAAGAGGACGTCTGGTCTAATGGAAAGGATTCCAATAGTCCAGTTTTGACAATAGTTTTGATATTGCGAAAGATTTTCAAGCCCCGGATGTACTACCGGGATCTGAGCATATGATAAACAATTAGCGCGAAATCGGGATATTCTTCTGGTTCTGTCAGGCCAAATGTGGTCTCTCGTTGTCACGACACCCTTTCCTACTGATTAGTGCTGGATGTTTAACTGCAAGAATAGGTTTCAGGCGTACCGGCAAATATAACAGGGGACGACCGCGGCGGCAGTTGTGGGTCATATATGTACGATACACGCAGGCGGAAAGCCCTATTTGAACAGATTAACAACCGCAGCTGGGAGGCCATGAGGCCCGTCATAAGGAAGTGGGTGGCTGC